GAAGCAGGCGACGTGTCCGAGTTTGCCCAGTGGGTGCCAGCAGGCTGGCTGAGGCCTCTGGATCCCTGGGCAGTGGCCAGGCTTCTGAGGGGGTCACCCGGACCCAGGACCCCGAGGGTGAACTGCTCCGGGCTCCTCCGGCAGGGGCGCCCAGATGCCACGGCAGCGTGGGAAAGGGAACCCTGCAGACCAGGACCTGAAGCCTGAGGGCAGCCTCCGCCCAACCCAAGCGGGGATCAAACGCCTTCAAGCCCAGACTCGGGGATCAGAGAGGGGCAGTGGGCGCTCTCGAGACGAAAGGGAGCCTGGGTGAATCAGGAAAGTCACTGGGCTGGAAAGTGATTAAAGGGTGAGCGTGGGAGGGGATTTCCACAGAGAGCGCTCAGCCGGGAGCAAGTCCAGGCGGGCCAGCTGCAGGCCGTGGCCCTCCTGAAGGCTGTTGCAATGCTGCCCGTAAAACCCAGATCCGTGGAGACGTGAAGCCTTGATCTGGTTTCTTTTTCCCTATGTTGCCCTTTAGAAAAACAGATCTGAGGAAACTCCAAAGCTCTAGAACAAAGCATTCTCTATCAAAGGGGTGTGAGCAGTCAGGAGACGTCTCTGGGAGAGGCCAGCTGGGGGTGTCCCCAGACAGGTGGGCTTGGGGGGACCCGGCAGCGAGCTGACCCACCTTCCTCCCTGTCCTGGGGCTGCAGAGGAGACTGTGGGGGAGAAGACTCGCTCCTGCTGTCTCTCCAGAAGGACGACAGCGCGTACCCCGAGACACCGCCCGACACCAGAGGCTGAGGTCAGAGAGGGAACGGACTTGTCCCAGGTGTCACGTATCTGATGTTGTGTACCCACCGCTACAGACTGCCCCGATTTCCCCTGTGACCACCTAGGGGCTGCTATTGTCATTTTAAACAATATACCTGGACCTCACTTTATCGGTTCATTTACTGTAGGTAGTGTTTATGGACTCCTGATGATGAAAGAATGGGAAATTCTTGTGTTATCTTTCTTCCTTCCAATTTTTGTTGGCTCCATTTCCGTTTTATCCAGTCACTCAGCAGCTACGTACTGAGGCCCTACTGTGTGCCAGACGATATGCTGGGTGCTGGGTCCACAGGGTCAAGAAAACACACAAAACTCCCTGCTGGCATGGAGCCTGCATTCTAGTAGAGGGGGTGGATAATAAGTAAGGAAAACATCAAGAGTTTCAGAGAGACATCAGGCAGGGAAGGAGATACAGTGTGTGTGTGTGTGAGAGAGAGAGAGAGTATGAATGTGTGTCTGTGTGACTGTGTGTGTGTCTTTGTGTCTGTGAGTGTCACTGTGTGTCTTTGTGTGTGTGAGTGGGACTGTGTGGGGTAGTTTCAGCAGGGTGGTGGGACAACCTCCCAAAGAAGGTGCTGCCTCAGAACAGAGCTGTGTGAGGGGAGGAGACAAACCCGGAGATGCTGGGGGGCCACGGTCCAGGTGGGGAGGAGCCGGTGGCCCTGGGGGAGGGCTGGTGAAGAGGCCGGTGAGCTGAGAGGGGCAGGGTTCAGGTCAGGAAGAAAGGGGCAGCCCCCAGGCCTCAGGCTCTGGAGAGTTATATGCAAAGGGGCAACTTCTGCTCCCTTCAGTTTAAGTTTGTATGGCATTAATATACACTCTCTTCATAAATAAATTAATCTTCAGGGCTTGTTCTATGGACTGAGCCTCACAATCAATGAGCACTAAAGTGAATTTACAATAAGATTAAGTAAATACTGTAGAAAACAGCAGAGATTTTACTCCTGGTTCCTCTCCAGTCCCGTTCTTGCCTCCAACCCACCTTGTCCCATCTTCCTTTCCATCCCATTCCGGGCAGTCCCCTGGAGCAGACCGGATGCCCTGCAACTCAGAGCATCTCCAGGGCGCTGGTCCCTGGAACCGTTTTGCAGTCCAGCCAGTTGCAGCTGCTGCAGGCGGATGGACAAAGGGAGCAGACCGGCGCAGGGGCCTGCGGAGGGTAGGGAGCTGACATGCGGGGACGTTCTGTGCAGCAGTCCAACGTCGGGTCAGGTCCAGAAGAACTGAGGGAGTGTGTCCAGGACCCAGCCAGGCCCCAGCAGCTGAGCGCCAGCGCTGTGCCCAGGGCCGTGTTCCCTGGGGTGCAGTTCCTGGGGGCGGGGTCCAGATGCTCTGGCAAACAGGGGGTGTCAGCGCTAGCCCCCTGCCCCTCTGGAGCCATCAGAGGCTCAAGTAATCCAGCTGGGGTCTGAACCTCTCCCAGACGGGGCCACCAGCAGAGACCAGCTCGGGGAAAGGTTTAGAGTGAGCTGTCTCTCCTCATCCCTGACAGACCTGGAGGGCGGGACTCCCAGGTTCCAAGGATCTACAAGCAGGCCCAGGAGCTGTGGGGCTGGGAACCGAGGCTTAGTTGCTAATGACCCGACGTTTCCACAAGGGGGCGCCCTGCTGAGCTCCCTCCCGGGGCCTTTGCCCCAGTGTTCCCGTCTCTTTCCGGCCCCAACTCCCGTGTCCAAAGGCCTGGCGCTCCTCCACAGTCAGCTGGAGAGGAGAGTGCGGGTGGCTGGTTCCCACCTAAAAGGAAATCTGTACCCCAGATGCCGACACAGGGGAGGTCCTCTCAGCCACCAGTGTCTCGCCCAACTTTGTCATTTAGAAGCTGTGCGACTTCATCTTAGGTTGCTCCGCCTCTCTGATCTCATCCGTCAAGCGACTCAAAGACACGTGAGGGTGCTCTGCAAACGTTTAAAGCCAGTTTGTGAAATCACCTGGGCCTGGAGAGAGCACCAGTGTGTCCCAGGCCTGGAGAGGGAGGGGTGACCACAGGAAACCAGCCGGAGCGGAGCTGGTCTGGAGCTGGCTGCTCAGGAGAATTCCAGATTATGCAGGTCTCGGCCGGCCGGGCGGGCGCCCCCAGGAGACGCCTACGGAGGAACAGGGGCGGGGCCTGGGCGCCCCAGGAGGGTGTGGCCAGCAGACAGGCTGAGACCTGGGGTTCCTAAGGCCGGCCGCGGCCCTCACTTGACCTCCCCCTTCTGCCACCTCAGACGTTGCCAGTCTTGATGGCCTCTCTTCCCTCACGGCCGACCACGCCCTCTCCGGGAGGGCTGGGGGCTAGCGGGCCCACGTGCGCGTGTGGGCGTGTGCGTGCAAGTCTCCTGCGCAGGCGGGCTGCAGCGCTGTGGGTGGGAACTGACAGCCCCTGACCTGGATGCTGGGGGGGGGGGGGGGGGGGCGGTGCCTCCCCTCCCCTGGACACGCTCTGTCCCCGTTAGGCTCCGCTCACTGGGCAGGAGGGTGCAAACATAGGGTGTGGGCACACCATCATTGCTACGTATCGCTATTCCCATAATAATCTACTATTAACGAGGGTATGAACAGGCCCTTAAGAGACGGGAAGTCCTGGGGGAACGGGCCAACATGGGGTATGCATGATGACCCTAGTCTAGTCTCAGGGTTCCCATCTTCCTCTAAAGTCAGTAAAAGTGGCGGAAGGAGTGGAATGACTTTTTCTTTTCAATTAATTTTTTGGGGCAGCGCCGTGCACCTTGCAGAATCTTAATTCCCTGACAGAGGCCCCGCAGCAGTGAAACCCTGGAGTCCTAACGACTGGACCCCCAGGGAATTCCCTGGAATACTTCTTGAGCCTCCTTCCAGTGCTCCTCACAGATGTTATCTTGCTCCTTAGAGTTCCCTGAGATCAGAGCCAATTAGCCTTCCCTCTTGACAGATGAGGAAATTGAAAGATAATGAAAGTGGGCAGGACACAGCCAAGGGGAGGACTTGGGGTCGCAGAGCTGGAAACGGCTGAGCGACTGAACACCAACAGCAACCGCAAAGGTGGTGTCCACAGGAAGCTCTGCAGGTGGCAGAGAATGGGGAGCCTTCAGCTGGGGGTGGGGGTGGGGGACGGGGAACTGAACCTGGGGGAAGAGGCAGCAGGCCCCTTCCGCCAGGCCTGGCTCCCCCAGGCCCAGGTCTAAGTGGGCTGAGCGAGGCCCTGTCAGTGGCCGTCCCAGATCCCAGTGCAGACTCGGTGCTTCCTCCTCCCCCGGCAGGGGAGGCTGAGGGGCCTCAGGTTCATGCCTCCTAAACCACACCGGGATGGAGGCGGCGTGGGAGGCTGGGCCATCCAAGCAGAGACCAATGTGGGCAGCCTGTCTGGGGCCCCCACACGTGGAAATCTGCCCAAGGGGTAGGAAGCCAGCTTAGCCTGATCCCCTCTCCCACCCCACCCCGCCCAAACCCCAGGACCGTCCTCATTTTTCTGATTGCGCAATGCCAATGGGCAACTGGCCAAGCGAGGAAGGGGGTCAAAACTGGGGCAGGGTTCCTGTGGCCTGGGGTGCTCCAGCAGCTGTCTGGCAATTCCCCGCCCCCGGCGAGACCCAGCCGTGCCTGTGGGCGACCACGGAATTGGCCCCTCCTAAGCAGCTAGGCCTGTATAGTCTAGACGACAGCCCCTCCTTCCCCTTCCCCACCCCCCGCCCCACCCCCGCCGAGTCCAAGGCCCGGAGGTCCCCAGGAGCGGCGGACTAAAGGCCCGAAGGCCCGAGCGGTGGGACAGCAGCCCCCTCGGTCCCCATTACCCCGCCCCACGCCCAGAACCCGCAGGGTGACCGCGCCCCGCCCCCGGGCGGACCGGGCGCGCAGGGGAGCGGACCGGAGGGGAGCAGACGGGAGGGGAGCGGATGGGAGGGGAGGGGAGCGGATGGGAGGGGAGCGGATGGGAGGGGAGCGGAGGGCGGGCCGGGCGCACTGGAATGCGCGGCGGCGCAGGAGGCAGGGGGCGGGCGCCGGACATGTGAGGGCACATCCCAAGAGCTGCCGCCCGGCGCGCAGACGGCCCAGGAAGAGCGGGCGAACGAGCGAACGGGCTAGGGGGCTCTGGGGCCCGGGGCCGGGGCAGCGCGGAGCGGCGGCCAGGGCCGAGGCGGGGCCCGACAGGCACCAGGCGCGCCGGCCGGGCGGTGGGGAGAGCTGGCGGGGCGCAGCGCGGCCTGGCCGCGGCACCGCGCGCGCCCATGACGGCGGCCGTGCTCCGGGAGGGCGTGCTGGAGAAGCGCAGCGGCGGGCTGCTGCAGCAGTGGAAGCGCAAGCGTTGCGTGCTCACCGAGCGCGGGCTGCAGCTCTTCGAGGCCAAGGGCGCTGGCGGCCGGCCCAAGGAGCTCAGCTTCGCCCGCATCAAGGCCGTGGAGTGCGTGGAGAGCACCGGCCGCCACACCTACTTCACGCTGGTGACCGAGGGCGGCGGCGAGATCGACTTCCGCTGCCCGCCGGAGGACCCGGGCTGGAACGCGCAGATCACCCTCGGCCTGGTCAAGTTCAAGAACCAGCAGGCCATCCAGACCGTGCGCGCCCGGCAAAGCCTCGGGGCCGGCGCGCTGGTGTCCTAGAGCGCCGGGGCGCGCCCGGCCTTCCCGAGGCCGGTCGTGTCAGGTGAGTCCCCGGGTCTGAGCCCCCCTCCTCTCTGGACCTCCTGTCGCCTCTTTCCCCTCCGGAGGAAATGGGGGCCCTCAACCTGCGTGCCCCCTCCAGGCTGGGCCGTCCGAGGGCCAGCGGGAATGGAGAAACCTAGGGGAGCGCCCAGGAGTCCAGCCTGGAGCCAAGAGTCGGCCTCCCCCGGGCGCCGGCAGGGGGCCGGACTGTGACCCCCCCTCTCCTAGAGGAGGGTGGGCGGCCGGCCTCCAGCGGCTGGTTCTGCCCTGACTCCCGGAGGAGGCTGGCGGACAGGCCGCTGGGCCTCCACCCCTGCCAGGGCGGGGCTCCTGGGTTGAGGGAGCCGGGGTGGGGGTGGGACAGAGGGGAATGGGCTTGTCCCCACTTTCTGCTGGGATGACTCTCGCCCTGGAGTTTGAGCTGGGAACCGTGGCAGGAAGACTCCCTCAGTGGCAGGGTGCTCAGGGTTGGGAAGATAACCAAGAAGCCGCGGATCCCAGGGTGGGACTTTGGCAGAGTCTGGGCTGTACCTGGGACCTCCACTACCTGTCCTCCGGGGTGGGTCTGGGGGGGTCCTAGGGCTGAGCTGTTTGGGAAACCAGGAGAGTTGGGAGGTTTGCAGGCAGGCCACTCTGCCAAGGGAGGTGGGCCTGTCCACCTGCCCCTGGTGTCCAGCATGTGCGCTGGGCGTAGAAGGGGGCTGGAGGAGGGGTTGGGGCCCTGGTGGTGGGTGGATCCGGCCACAATTTGTTGTTTGTGATGCCTTGATCGTCCTTGGGCCCTCGGGCAGGGGCAGGGGCAGGGGCAGGGGGCGGGCCTGTGGTCAGGAAAGCTTGGCAGGGACCTGGGGCAGAACCAGAAGCCTTGGCTCCCCCACCCAGGCCCTCTCGTGGGAACCGGGAGCAGGTTAAGGAACGTCTAGTTTGTCTGTCTTGTAGGAAACTGACATTCTCCTCCCCCACGGCCTCGCTCCCGAAACCCCCCCCACCCCTGTCCTGCAGCTTCTCCCTGCTGCAGGTGGAGCCCAGCACCCCGCCCCCCCACTCCCCACCCCCGTTGATGGCCTCTCAGTGTAGTGGGGGGCCCTGAGTGGTTGGTGACAGGCAGACCCGTGGCCTTTGAGCTGGTTCTCTTTGGTGCCCCTGGCCTCAGGGACCTGGAGGGAGCAGCTCCCTGCGGGGGTCACAGGGTGCTGTACAGACACCCCATGTTCTCCTGAAATGCGGGAGCAGGTCCAGGGACCCTGGACAAACAGCTCCTGTGGACACGCTCCCCACCGCACCTGCTTCCGCCCTGACGGCTGTGCTTCCTCTCCAGCTTCTGGGCCCCCTTTGGCTCTTGGGGCGTGACTGTGCTCCTGACTGTGCTCCGGGTGGCGAGGCTGCAGCTGTGGACACCCCTGTGGAGGAGGCGTTGGAGTCACGGGTCAGCGGGAACCAGCGAGGAGGGGGACGGCCACGGGGGCGCTGAGGATGAGGATTTGGCCCCGGGCACTCAGGCTATCAGGACGTGCCCGCCCTGGGCCCAGCCTCTGAGGTCGGCAAAGCCCTCGCCCGCTGTGGCCCTGGTGTTTGCTCTGCAGACTGTCTGCCTCAGGCTTGGTGCCGTGCCTGCAGGAGGGCGGCCCCCTAGGGGCGCTGAGCCAGTGCCTCAGGGCTCAAGAGGCCTGCCTGGGGCCCACGAAATGAACCCCCCAGGCTCAGCTCTGGATTCAGCTTGGTGTGGGGGTAGCTGATGGGCCCAAGACCCACTCTTGGGGTCGTCTGCAGCTTGGGTCCTTTTCGGGAACCCCACTCCTCCAGGCCTCTCTTTGCACACTTCTTCCCCACTCCTGCCCATCTTCCCCGCACTGCCGTGCCAGGCCTGGAGGTGGTGGGGTGGGTAGAGGCTCAGCCATTACCATTTCACACCTGTCCCAGAATCTGATGCCCATCAGAGGGCAGTGACCACGCTGTTCTCTGAATGAGAAAAAGACCTGGTATTGGGAACATCTCTCTCCTCGCCTCCAGTTTCCCACACTAAACCCCATCCTGAAGTCTCCAGCCTGGGGAGGCCGAGACCCTGCAGTCCAGAGAACACGGCCTCAGAGGTGCTGGAAGAGGGGCCACGGGGCCTGCACGGGCCGCTGTGGGCCTCGCTGTCCTCCTGGGGGGGCAGCTGAGTCTCCCCAGCAGGGCTCGTCCCTTCATCACTCACACACTTGGGCCTGCTCCGCTGACACCACGTCTTCTCCGCGCGATGGTTTAAAAGGAATCGTTTCAGCAAAAGAGAAATGGAAGTGGAGACAGCACTGCCCTGAGTGACACAGCGACTGCCCATTGGCTGATCCACGTCTGGCCTGCCCCGTTGCGGTGTGGCGGCTTCCGAGTCCAATGGGGCAGGAAGACCGAGTGTCCGCCGCAGGAGTCTGGACGCTGCTTCCAACCCTCTTGCTCCCCGCAGGCTTCTCCTCCCACCCGGTCACGACCCCTGTCCTTTGTCCCCGTCCCCCAGAGCCCTCTGCAGCTTCTCGTTTCTCCGATATGTGAACCTCATCTTAACAATCGAATAAGAACTTACAAGGAAAGGCATTTTTACAGATGCCTCATTTGTGGTCTCAGGCTGTCCACGCAGTCCACGATGCAAATAAGCACCCTCGCCCGGGCCAGCTCGCGCGCTGTGCTCAGTTGGTGATGTCTGCCGGGAGCCTTGGGAGAAAGGTGTGGAGGCTGACGGCCGTCTGTGTGTGGGTGGAGCGCGAGAGAGCTTGGTGTTGCCACTACGTCCTGGACTCAAGCTATGTGAGCGGCTTGGCTTCATCCTGCTGTAAAACAGCAGGTTCTAAGATAGATCCTTGCTCTTTCCAGCAAACCGAGGGAGGTGTCCAGACACTCAGAAATGGGAGTGTTTGTGATCAGATGAGATCAGGGTGTGGGACACGCTCGTCTGGCAAACACAAGCCTCTTGCAGGCAGGCCGGGGGACGTGGAGACGGAGCACCTGGTCTGAGCTGAGTCCAGGGGGCGAGCAGCTGCTGCTGTGCCCTCGAGAGGCAGGTGCAGTGGGGGGCGTCCTCAGCAGAGCCGGTGGGGGGCCATCCCGGGAGGCTGGCTGTGCAGGGTAGTGAGGGGCAGGGCCGCCGTGGGGTGGTTTCAGCTCCTGGCGCTCCCTGCTTTTGGGGAACACCGCCCTGTTGGCTCCAAGTATGCTTTGGTTCCTGTCCAAGCCCACTTGGGCTGCTCCGTTTGCTAGGAGATCCCGGACCCTCTGAACGGTGTGCTGCTGCGGGCCCCGCACAGGGGATGCTGGAGCAGCTGGTGGGTGTGTGGAAGAGGAGAAGCACTAGGAACCCTGGAGGCATGGGGCTCAGGCCTTCCTGGGGCGTCTGCTGGGGAAGAAGACCCTCTTCCTGGGATCAGGGGTAGCCTCACGCTCTGCCAAGGGGAGGAGCCTGGGCCCTGTGCCCACCCCTGGGAGTGCTCAGCTGGACCACTGAGTGGGGTCAGGGCCCCCCGGGGGCAATGAGAGGCCCGGCCGTACCCTACAGACAGGCACAGGGTGGAAAAACCTCGCTCACCGGAGGCCCGGGTGGGGCCCTCGCCACTCTGCTTGCCCGGCCGCCCTGGCCTCATCCCTGCCAAGCCCTGAGTCATCAGTGGGAAAGTGAGGCAGGGCGAGTCCCGGCAGGCGGGGGCAGGGGGCCCTGTTCAGGTGAGAAGGGTGGGGTGGAGGCTCCGACAAGAACCAGCCTGTGGCGGGGACTGGGGGTGGTGGCCGGGAGCCTCCGGAAGCGGGGGTCTGCAGCAGGGGGAGCGGGCACTGCACCCCGACCTGGAGGCCCTCTCCTGGAGCTGGGGGTGCAGAGGCGCCTTGGTGGTGGGGCCAGCAGGCCTCGTGCAGGGGCCCTGGCAGACCCTGGCCCACTGTGCACCACGCTGTAGGAGTCCAGGGTGCCCCTCCCGGCCTCCGGAGTGTACCACCTGGGACGTGGCTCACCCTCCTGATCAGAACCTGGTGCCTGGAAGACGTCCCAGCTCCCTGGAGGCGCGCCCTGCACCGTCAGGCATCTCCTGCCCACCCCCACACTCCCAGCCGGGACCCCTGCGCAGGACGGGCGGGGGCCCTTGTACCCCCACTGCCCCCGCCCTGGGGACTCTCCCTGCTCCATCCAGGCGGCAGAGCCGCTCTGCTCCTCAGCCACGGCCCCGTCACCGCCTGGGGTGGCCACTCCCGCCGTTCATACGCGCCAGTGTCCCGAGTCCCTGGGACTCGGTAGGTGCCTTGTCATCACGACGGTGACTGAGCTGACTCCATGCGCCCACGTCAGCACAAGGGTCATCCAGCCACGGAGGCTGTGGATTCGGAAACAGGTTAGGTGACCTACTAGGCATCCCAGCGGCTAACTGGGGGTGGGCCCTGGATGTGTGCACTGAATCCACAGCAGATGAGCCCTTCTTGTGGGGTTATGGGCTAGTGGAGGGGGAGAGGGGCTCGCAGGTGGGCTGTGAGGGTGAGAGCGGAGGCCGGGGGCTAAGAAGGGGTGTTGGGGGGCTTGTGTGGAGGGCGCTTGTGGACAGAGGCTGCCGCCAGGCCTTGACGCAGTGCTGGGTCCAACTCCAGGAGGGGACCAGCAAGGGGCCCCTCAGCTTGGAAGGGTCTGTGTGAGCCTGCAGGGGCAGCCCTGGACAGGACCCCCTGGGGCAGCAGAGGAGCCTGGGGCAGGGCAGTACCTGTCCTGTATTGGCCCGAATGCTCCATCTCACGACCTGGGCACAGGGCCCATCCTGGGGGTGAGGTCTGGGCTCTGCTGACGGACCCTGTGCTGCGCAGCCTGGCCCTGAGACCCACAGGGGGGCCACCTGCTACCGGAGTGAGCGGGGACCCCCCTGGTTTCCACACTGGAAGCTATGTGTCCCCAGAACGCCGCAGGCCCGGGCCCTTGGGCCGTCAGTTACCCCACTCCCACACTGCCCAGGGTCAGGAAGCCTGGCCCCCCCCTTTCCTGATTCCAGCTGTCAGGCCCGCCCTTGGCCTGGGGCCCTGGTAAGGGCACCCCGCAGAGTCCTGGGCTGTGAGCTGCGGGGTAGGGGCACCGTCACCCCTGCTCTGGCCAGCGGAGCATCCTGCATCCTCAGGACACACAGACTCCTGGCTGCAGGGAGGAGGGGGTGTCTCCAGGCTCCCCAGTCAGCTCTGCCTCCACTTCATCAGTGCTGAGCCCCCCCCCCCCCCGATTCTGCCTCCCAAGGTCAGGGAATGCAGGGGAGACGCAGCCGGGCCTGAGGTGCAGAGCACGGGTGCAGCAGAGAGCACAGAGGAGGTGCCGCCTCGGGGCCCCTGGCCTGGTCCCTGCTTCTCCCTCCAGGCAGAGGGGAACCTTTTGCAAACTGCTGTTCTTACACATAATACTTTATTTTATTACAGACATCCATTCACTGAGGCAAATGTGAAAGGACAGAAAGTTATAAAGAAGGAAACAGACATCACCTTGGTGTTCCCATCTTTCAGAGATAATCTTTGTTAGCATCTCGCGGTATTTCCCTCTACCTTTACTCCTGTGTAAATATATGTAATACTTAATTATCACATGATTTGTAATATGTAATTGCTTTTCACACACAGGGTCATACTGTGTGTATTTTATATCTTCGTTTTTAATGTATAAACCCACTCTGTTATGAGACCATGACATTAAGTATTTTAATGCCTGTGTGTTTATGGTCTACTGTTGTTTATTTGCCATCCAGCCCCTCATTACTTGGACACCCCCACATCCTTTTTGTTTTTATCTCTGTGTATATAAGGATGCAATGAATATTTGCCTATTTGAATCTCTCTGTGTCTCTGGATGTTTCTCTCTGAGAATATTCTTTTTTAATTTAATTTTTTTTTTTTAAATTGAAGTGCATGAAGTACACTTTTGAAGTGCATTCTCTTTTAAAAAATTACGTTTCACGTGTAAAATATAGTGACTCACAGTTTTCAAAAGTCACACTCCATTTATAGTTACTATGAAATACTGGCTCTATCCCTTGTACGTATATCCTTGTAGCTTATTTATTTTATGCATAATAGCTCCATCCTCTTAATCCCCTAACTCTGCATCAGCCCGTCTTCCTCCCTGGTAACCAGCTGTCTGCTCTCTGTTTCCGTGAGTCTGCTCCTTTTCTGTTACGTTTGCTAGTTTGTTGTATTTTCTAGATTCCACATGTAAGAGGCATCACAGTATATTCTTTAGAAGAATCCGTGATGCTCCATGACTGGGCTCTCATGAGAGCCGGGGAGTCTGGGCGTGTTGCTTGGGGAGGCTGGAGGTTGCAGAAGACAGAGAGAGGGGTGGTGGGAGCTGGGGGGCAGGAGGGGACATGGGTGAGGGGCTGGTGTGAAAGCACCGCTGTGGGCCGGGTCTGGAGCCACACGAGCAGGCGTATGGGCGGCAGCTGGAGCCTGAGCCCTGATCACAGCCCCGAGTGCGAGCCCCAGCCGTGTCTGCTTTCTGACATGGTCTGCCTCCTGGATCGCCGTGAGACGTGTGGAGAGAGTGCCTGTAAAGACAGCACTCGAGGTGCACAGGCCATCAGCGGGCATAGCCCCGTGGTCACTCTCCACCAGCACTGCTAACCAGGCCCCTCTCCAGAGGCTCAGAGCCCTGCGAGCTCACAAACACATGCACGCACACACACACACGTGCACATACAGGCAGTCACATGCACGTACACACACACACACATGCATACACACAGACACACACAACAGACACACACACACGTGGACACCCCTTGGCTCTGGCTTCCTGCCGACCCCCGTGCTCTCCCTGAGCCCCCTGCTCCTCCAAGAGTCAGCTCGGGAGCGCCGCTGGCGGGCAGACCCCATGCAGCCCCACTGGTCTCTGCCTCCGAGGGGCTCGTGTGGGACCCTGCCCCTCAAGAGTGACTGGCCTGGAGACTGGACGGATGTCTCACCCACACACAGTGAGGGCTTCTGAAGGCCTGAGTGTCCATCTCGCTCACTGCCTCCAGTCATCCTAGCTTCTTTTTAAGTTTCATTATTTATTTTTAAATGTTTTTGTTTTTTGCTCATGTTATGTGGCCTGTGGGATCCTAGTTCCCTGACCAGGAATCAAACCTATGCCCCCTGCATTGGGAGCTTGGATTTTTTAACCACAGGACCGCCAGTGACGTCCCTCTTCCTGCCTGCTTTTGAAGGAAACACTGTGTTGGGCAGGTCCGCTTCGCAGGACTGAACATGGCCAACAAGCTGGGCCCCGGCGACAATCACGTACATTTGGAAGCAGGTCCCTCGTGGTTGGACCTTCAGATGAGAGCTCCTCCTGGCCGACATCCTGACCACTGTCCTGCGATGCCCTGGAGCAGAGGCCCAGCCAGGCACGTCCAGGCCTCCAGCCCTTGGAGGCTGAGACGACACCTGTGCCTGGTGCTCTGGGGAGGCCTGGCCTTGCTGCTGCAGCCATTCCCACTTGAAGCAGACAGGCCAGCCTCACGCGTGCCCACCTCAGCATCACCCTGAGGGCCCCCCTTCCCAGGCGCCCCTGTGGGAGGCCTAGGCTGTGTGTGGGGCATCCAGCTGCAGCGCGGGGCTCTCCTTGTCCTCAAGAGCAGCGTTTCCTCACAGCGCGGGCGTGGCAGCCCCCCAGAGGGAAAGGCTGTCACCCCACCAGCCCACCCCATCCACGGGGACCGCTGGGTCGCAGGCCTATCCTGCAGACACAACCCCGTCCAGGCTGACAGGCCCCGGGCTGGGCCTGCGCTTACGTGTATGATGCAAACCGCCCCAGTGTCATTTACTGGGGGACTTAAAACGGCCCACCCTTCCCCCCAGCAGGACCCCTGGGCACGCAGGCCTCCGCTTCAGTTGTTAGCAGCACCCAAGAGGCCTTTGTTCAGAGCTGGACTCTGCCAGCCCTGGGAGGGAGCACCCGGCCCAGCCTGTTTACTCAGCTCCTCCTCGGCAGACGGTGGGTGTCCGGGGGGTGGGCCTGTTTATCTTTGGCAGACATTAAATCCTGCATGAACGGCTGGGTGAGGCTGAAGGCTTCCAGCTGTCCAGTCACCCCTCCCCACCTCTCCTGACGCTGGCTCCCTTGGGAAAGTTACAATGGTTCAAAGGACATCGCTCACCTTGGGGACCGTGGTCACAGTCTCCAAGGAACTGGACTGGGAGGGGAGGCCGCCCACCGCGCAGGGACCAGACTCATGACTTCCTGCTGTGTGCAGGTGCACGGCATCACGGGGTTCTGTCCCTGCAGCCTCGTTTGGTCTCCCCACTGCCAGGAGTAGAGAGGATCCGTCTCTGCAGAGAGAGAAGCGGAGGCTCAGAGACGCTGGTCGCTTGCTCAAAGTCACACAGCGCTGACCTGCTGTGGGGTCTGCGCCCAGGTCTGTGGGACAGGAACTGTCTGGGGCGGGGCTGGAGGCCCGCAGGAGGGACCGCAACAGGCATTGCGAGGTGCGCCCGAGCAAAGGTTCGGGCGTTTATGCCCCTGCCTGGGAGACTTGGGGTGATGGGGGTGCTGTCACTGCGTTTTACTGAAGGCTGATGAGGGTGGGGCTCTGCCGGGTGTGTGGGAAGAACTGTAAATAATTCGGTAATAAAGCGGGAATTCTGCATTAACTGCCTGGGCCCTTGTGGGGTGGACACATGCGCTGAGTCCCGGCCCCAGCCTTGCGGGCTGGTCTGGGGTGTGAGGCGGCTGTGGGCCCTGACCTGCCACCCCAGCACCCTGAGCGGAAGACAAGAGCCCCAGAGACTCTTCCTGGGACGGGCCGTGGGCGGTGAGCAGCTCCTGTGTGCCCTCGCCAGCTCCCTCCTCCCCGGGCCCTGGGGATGTTCGGAAGTCCAGCTCTCGGGGGACCAGGCTGGGCGCTCACACTGGGGCCAACGCTTGGTGGGCCACCTGGGGGTCTCGGGAGCAGGGTGGCACTGGGCAGTGAGCTGGGAGCGGGGGGCTGGCTCCTGGCGGGGCTCGAGGGGGCCCCTTTTGACCTGAATGGGGGAGATGCTGAGCATCCAGCCCTCCCCCTTGGCCGTCGCCATGGCCTTGGGTGCAGAGGGCACTCTGCAGATGAGAAGGCAGAGCTCAGAGAGGCTACCCTGGGATTCACAGCAGTTCCGGCGTGGGGACAGGACCTGGGGTGCGTGTCTGAGTGTGTCCAGAGGCTGCCAGAGGGTGGGGCCGGGGTCCCAGAGCACTCCCCTCCCACCCACGCTCACCTCTGTCTGCTTCCCTGCCACCCCCACCCCGCCAGAGTCCGCCCCTGGGGCCTAGCTGAGCCTGCAGCACCTCAAGGCGGGCCCAGGGCCCCAGCCAGACGGCCGCGTTTACTCAGCTTTTCCTTGACATTCCACACACGCGAGCACTTGGCCGGTGCCCGGAACGCTCTTTATCGGAACAATCTGTCTTTCAGGGCGCCTGCTTAATCGCTCCATTGTCCTTCCCTTTCCTGGACCTCTCAGGCAGGGGGGACCAGCGTCAGGGAGGGAGGTGCCCCTGCTGCCCGGGTCTGCAGGCACCATGGAGGTGCCAGGGCTGGGCGGGTGGCAGCAGCCTCAGGGCCTCTTCTGACCCAGTCACTTCTCCCCATTGTGTTCTCAGGTCCTGGCGGAGCAAACCAGGGGAGGGAAGAGCCCACAGTGCAGGTGATCGGGCACTCCGTGAAGAGGGTGCTGTTCCCAGTCCAGGGCCAGGACTCAGCCCTGCACTGCCCCCAGTAGCTGTGTGGCCTTGGGTGATTCAGCATCCTCTCTGGACCAGCTCCAAATCCAGGCTCTGCCCCTCGCTGGTCAAGTGTCAGCTGTTTACCCTGATGAGCCTCAGTTTCTTGACCCATAAAATGGGCTGAATAACAGCCACTCCTCATTATCTGTATTTGCAAAGCGGCCCACTTGCTAAAATGTATGTATCACCCCCCGATCAGCACTCGTGGGGCTTTTGTGCCAGGTGGGTGAGAACTGCGAGACCCCTGCAGGCCCCACTCCCCGCAGAGCTTCAGCAAGGTGACAGCTGCCTTCTGGTTTCCATCTCATGCTGCAAACAAGCGTCTGATGCCATGCTTCTTGAGTATTTGTGCTTTTGTGGGTGACTCCAGTGTTTAAGATGGCCCCGAAGTTGGTGCTGTAGGGCTGTCTGCTGAAGCATGAAGAAGCTGGGACATGTTTGATGGAGAAAATACATGTTACATGAGCTTCATTTGGGTGTGAGTTCTCAGGCTGTTGGCCCCGAGTTCAACGTCAATGAGTCAACGGCACGTATCAGATAGGGTGTCTGTAAACAGAAACACACATAAAGAAGGTCGTGTACTGACAAGCTGGTGCCCCGGGGACCCCAGCCCTGAGTCCTGTGTGCCACGGCTCTGGGTTTGCCAGGTCACATTTTCTGATGATGAAACAGAACCTTGAATGATGAGTCAGCGGCACTCATCACACAGGCTCTGGCGGCTCTGAAGTTCACCTGTGTGCAGCTGGCTGGTAGCTCTGGTGATTGTTACTGGTCCATAGGTCTGTCTCTTGACCACTCAGCCTCCCGAGGGTCAAGTGCCTTGAGGTGGGACCCGTGCCCCCCAAAGTGCACACAGGGCGTCACGGCCAGACTGGCGGGGGCCTGGGGCGTCCGGCCGGCACTCGCTCTGCCTGGTTCTCTGCGAGGCTCTCGGAGCCCTGGACGCCTGCACTCCTCGGATGTCTCCTCCGGGGGCTGGAGATGCCTGACCCCGGCTCACAGGCGAGCTTGGAGTCCAGGGGCTGCATGAGCCGGCTGGGGCTCACTTCCGTTGAGAGACGGCAGTGCTCTCGAGACGCAGGGCCGCACCTGCTCACA